ATAGCACATCGTCGGTGGTATTGATTCTTAGATCAATCGCTAAATCCTCCCCAGATTTGCCCAAGAATGCGGCTTGAACCAAATTGTATTTGACCGATTGACCTTCGCTCACGCAGTCGACTGGAACTTCAGTGTACGAGTAATAATATGGGTCATTTTGGCACACGCGAACTAACTTCGTTATGTATTCATTTGTGTCATTCGGTGAGCTGTGTTTCAATTGAGTCGTTAAGAAATATGAAAAACCTTGGGAACTAAAACCGTACACATATCGAATTGTATATAGTGGCACATCTGGGCGGATTTGTATCAATGTGCCGGTGTTTATGTTCACAGATAAAATGTGAAACATACTGTTTTTTTCCAAACGATGGGTCGAAATTGCCGGAACATCAATTTGATTGTAAGAATTTAAAACAGCTGAAACTCCGACATACATCGCATTTGTTGGGGTGGATGCGGAAAAATTCGGTGCAAGAAATGCTACAGTTGACTGATCTAAAAATATTGATCTCATTTAAATTCATTTTTTTTGAAAATTCTCAACGCGGGGCGGATTACTACTGAAAATCAGTACTTTTTCAGTATTTAGTTATTTTCATTAGTACTTTGAGTGAATTCAGTGGTAATTCGCTCTTTGGTTCTCAATCGTGTTACTTTCAGTTTTAGCAATAACAAATTCTGTAATATTTTCTTCTGGGAGTGAAATATTTTGTAAACTTCTTGTCGAGCACGCTCCTTGGGGCACCGTGTTACAAGTGATAAGTCGTCTTATATTGTAGTCAATCAACAAAACCTTGTTCATATTATCGATACGTTTGGCCTGTTGACATTCTAACGAAAAATAATCGAATAAATTACAATTGTCGAACGAATTTCGAGGACCAATCTCGGCTTCTGTTATATTCTTTAAGTCTGACGTCAGTTGAAAGAGCTTATTGCGACCGCCAACATATACCTTATCAATTAGGAAGTGCAATGTTACAAGATAGTTAATTTCATGTTATACTTTGTAATCATAACCCACTCACGTTTCCTGTTTCACGATCAACTGCCAAGTGGTTTAAATCGGTATTCAGACTATTTCGATGTGTGATCTTTGTGTGCTCAACTGATTCTCCTTTTACAATGCACACACCCAAAATAAGTTCGACGATCATGGCGAACATAAACACTTGTTTGAGTTTCTTCATTGCAACTATTTCACAACGCTGATGCAATCCAATCACACACTTTCCAATTTCAATTCTTTTATCATTTCAATTTTTTCGTGCTAAACTATTGAACAGGTTTGACAGAAATTCTGAATTTTGGACAAGTGCTTGTTTGCCCAAACATTCTCTGACAGCAACGGAATGAAACTGCTTGCATTAACGATAAAACTTCAGAGCAAACACGAATCAAGTATTGCAATGTGTATAAACTAATTTCAAACACGTACGTAATTTGTATGCTTGTATATGAGATAAACAAAAGTCGACACCGTATGAAATTATCAGTAAGATTTGCTGGCTCGGTTGAGATTCGTCCACTCTTTCCTTATCCCATTTCTCCTTCAATTTATGAACGAAACGTTTTGATTCCACATAATAATGCATACATTGCTGAAGCATCAGTTTGCAAAATTTTTTTTTTTTTAAAATGTGAGATTAAAATTGGGTGTTGATTTCAAAACTTCGGTATTCTGTTCGTCAAGAATATTTCGCTTGTGTTGGTTTGCCATAGTTGACAGCGGATCGGAAGCTCCGATTAGCCCAGCCGTATTTAAGAATTGCAAACGTTAGCAAAATACACAAAAATGTATGAAAATCACGTATTCCACGTATTTCAGTGCCAATGTTTATTTTGTTTTATTTCGGCTATGGCACAGTCAGTGTGCTAACAAAGAGACGAGAAAACGAACGCAATAATAGCCACTGTATCGGTATATTGAAGGAAGCGTAGATAAAAGAAAGAAGCAAAAGTCCGAATATTCACATAAGTGACAGATTTCATGTATTGAACATGTTGCATCGATTGTGTGTGTTGAATTTTCTTACGTTTCTCTCTGTCTCTCACTTTCTCATTCTACTCTTCTAAGACATTTAGAACAAGAGTGATTTTTGATAAGCATTTTTCAAAAGGCCGCCAAAATTCATAATAGTGCTATATCTCGTCATTTTACAGTATTTTTTTGGATTAATAATAGGATTTAGATGTAATGAATCGATGATTTTTGTGCAGTATTTTACCTTTGCATTTAAATCTTATCCGTTTCAATGATCTTATTCACGTTATTGATTAAAAGATTCACATAACGCATTTACAGCATGCAATATTAAATCGTTTAACTGAAAGCCGAATTTACGAAATGATATTTGATTCACTTCAGCTATAGTATCATAATCATCCTCATTTCTTATTTTGATTAGAATTGCTCATATAGATGGAGTATCCATTTTGTTGACTATTCATCGCTAATTGTATCTCGAGTGAAAAAAATAAGTCTTTGACATGCTATACAATTTTATTTTATTCTACTGAATTGAGCAGGAGTTGTTTGCACGCAGTTCCGATAGAACAAAATAAAGGATCATCTTTGAAAAAACATATTGAAACAAAAGTGATGAAACTAAATTTTTCGATTCCAATTTCCATTATCCCTATCGTATACTCGTCGTTTTGTAGGATCCGAAAGTGTTGCGTATGCAGTGTTAATTTTTTCGAATAGCTCTTTCTGTTTGATTTGCTCGTTTTCAGGTGCATCTGCATGCTTATCTGGGTGGTGAATCAAAGCCAGTCGCCTGTAAGCCCTTTTGATCTCCGCTGAGGAGGCGGTCGTTTCGATTTCCAATACATCATAATAGTTAGCGGAGTGAGCACGTTGCAACGCT